GGGGGGGGGTCTGAATTGAGCGATCAATTGTTAGACCCGGACGTCCCAACACTTGCTTCGCAAGACAAACTCAAGGTATCCCCTAAAGGGCTACCTTTCGTGACTTGACGGAGAGGACAACACACGGGATGGGTCGAACAGCCAAGCCTGGTAGGGTACTGAATGTCACATGGTCGCAAAATATGTCTTGGATCGTTCGACCGTTTATCCTCTATACATTTAAAGGAAGCCTATAGCCTATAACCAGTAGTGCAAGAGCGTTGCTCGTTTAGAGGCCCCTTGGGCTAGGTCCTTCATTTCTCCAGTCACCACTTCTATATAGGATGACAAGACTTTGTGACTTCCCCTTCGAACACCATACCTTGTAAGACCAAGAGAACAGTGAAAAACCGACAAACCTGGAAATAACAATCATCCTTAAGAATCATTGGACCCTCCTATGGAAGGTTTTGACCCTGCATAGCAGGGGTTTGGACCCTCAAAACCTTCACTTTGAGGGTCCTTGATTCTTCGGGATATCATCCATTTGCCGCGTTGCACCATGGTCCCGGTCAAGATCAAAGCAAAGGCGCTTTGTGTTTCACGAGCCAAATCCTTCGATCGGTCCAGACTGACCGCGTCCTAGCCGGCCCCTTCTCCTCCCTGCTGGTCGAACAAGGCGTGGCGCAACCATCGGACAGCTATACCAGTGGATGGGCACCGAATCCGGGATGGTCAAGCTTGACAAAGCGGTGCAGTTTCGAAAGGCATCGGTCCCAATGTAGGTCACAGAGTTTGGGATGGACAAGCACTGCAATCCTCAAAGACACCATCTGGAATGTGGGTCATTGAGTTTGGGATGGTCAAGTTGACCAAAGAGCTGCAACCCCGAAAGGCATAGTCCCCAAGGTGAGTCACTGAATCTGGGATGGTCAAGCACGCCAGAGCTGTGCAATCGCCAAACGCTCGTTCGCCTATGTGGGTCACAAAGTCCGGGATGGCCAAGTTTGTCAAAGAGGTGCAAGAGTGAAAGGCACCAAAGCCGATGTGGGTCACTGAGGGTGGGATGATCAAGTCAACCAAAGCACTGCAACCCACAAAGGCACCATCTTCAATGTGTGTCACTGAGTTTGGGATGATCACTTTGGCCAATGTTTTGCAACTGTCAAAAGCGCATTCACCAATCTGTGTTTCAGTGTCTGGAATTTCGACCACAAGCAGCAGTTCGGAGTCAACGATGCCACCGAGAGTGGCGATTGCATCTTGGTTGGAGCATATCACTTTGTTTGGTTTGAAGACAACACTCACGACAGTATCTTCAGAAATTCCAGCTTCCAATACCGTTGCATCATCGGCCAGCAAGTGGTTGTCTCCGACAATGATCTCCACAACTGTAGTGCTGCGAGTGAGCTCGGCCCAAAGCTGTCTTTCCTTGATCTGCTGCTTAAGCTCGCACCCAGTCGTCTCTGGCCTGACTTCAAGAACCATGACTTCACCACTCGGCTGCCACACTGAAATGTTTGTTGCCATGGCTCAAATTACCTTGACGGATTTGGAATTGAGTTGGTTGCATGTTGACAAGGATTGAAAAGCTGTCTATGATGATGGATAAATGCTTGGCCACCTACCGCTGGGCAGGTGAATGCAGCACCTCTCGTTACGAAAAGCCGTTTGTTCTCTCTTGAGTTTCAACAAGTTCAATAGTGAATGAGAACCATACTATGACCACATCCTTATAGCTTCAATTAATTGGGTTGTTGTTTTCTCTTCGAAAGCACTCGTTTTCGAGTGGACATCGACCCAACGTCCTCACAGTCCAGGGCGGACGCTTTCAGTTTGATCGCCCAAAGCTCTAACCAGTCCCATGGGCCCATGGGGTCCTGTTCTCACGACAGCCCAAACCAGGCGAAACCAGGTGGCGAAGCAAACCCCAAGTCTGGTGCTAACCAGTCTGGTGCTAATCTTCTGATCTTGAAATATCACCTCCACTTCTGAGAGGTTATCTACGTTATTTGTGTTAGTCTTCGGCAGCTTTTGCCCATATACAACATCTAAGATCAACCAGTTAATACACTTCTATGAATTCTTATACTCACAACGATGTCTACACTCGAGGCTCATCTTCTGGACACGGCCGGCGCGCCCGAGCCGCTGGAGAATTCAGCGCCCTCCGCCGCTTCGCCGCGGCGCACTGCGGCGCATTCGGCACAGCCTGCTGCGCGCGCGGTGAAGTGCGCCACAGCAAAAATTAGTCGCAGGATATCGCAGGTGTTCATTTATTGCTAATATTCGATTGATGGCGTTTTATATCCTTGTTCTTTTGAGCCTTGCATTGAAGGGGTGATAGTGGCGAACGACTCTTTACATCAACTATAGACAGGCTTCTTTCTCTTCTGCGTTTGCTGAATCAAAGAAATATACCCTATTCTAGGAGAAGGTCACCGCCACGAGAAAACCCTTTTGAACTCTCAACAAAAAAGACTCCCGGCTAATTGCCAGGTTTGGGGAATACATCGAACAAACACAGAACTTGATGAACAAAAACAACATCAATTCCCCTTCTTCGTGATCACATCATTATGTCAAACCTTTCGGACACCTCCCTGATCACCATCGACCATTTCTATAACATCCATCTACTCACCGATGAAATACCACAGACCGGACGACGTCGGCGGTCGCTCGCCATGGCCCTCGGTGTGGATCTCAGAAGAGCGAAACCGACAAACCAGGAACAAACACACCCTACGCCTCCAAGTACCTTCTGAGAAGGTGCTTGGGGTGGGCGCCAGGAGGGTTCAAATACCTTCTGAGGAGGTACGACTGGAGGTGTAGGGACAAACACAATTTATGGATTTGCTGTGTGGCAGTGTGGTGCCAAAATCAGATCAAACGCGGAAACGATTATATAACATTATTCCACAAACGTGTCAGACCTTTCCTCCAAGTCGCTTTCATTTGGCCCACACCCGGATCCCAGCCCTGCCAAGCGGATTGGTTGATCCGTTTGGGATGAACCTTAACTTGCTCCTCCCCAGTCGGGCTCCGCAGCCCTCCAAAGTCGTCCTGAACTTGCCCCAGTGCAACCCTCGACTGCGCCGGAACCTGCGCCGTGTTGGGTCGAATCGATCGCTTTTCTCTTGGAGGATGAATGGTCCTTGGCCAAGGGCTCAGTTCACCCAGTTCGGCGTCTTTTGTGGCCAGGGCCAGTGCTAGGGCCACCATGCCGCAAAGAGGTGCAACCGCGAACGGCACCGATCCCAATGTATGTGTCTGAGTTGAGGATGGTCAAGTTTGCCAAAGAGCTGCAATCCCGAAAGGCACAATACCCGATGTGGGTCACCGAGTCCGGGATGGTCAAGTGCACTAAAGAGCTGCAACCATGAAAGGCGCCTTCCCCAATGTGGGTCACTGAGTTCGGGACGGTCAAGCTTGCGAATGAGCTGCAGCCCTGAAAAGCATAATTCCCAATGTGGGTCACTGAGCTCGGGATGGTCAACTTTGATAATGAGTTGCAATCACGAAAGGCAGAAGCCCCAATGTGGGTCACTGAGTTTGGGATGGTCAAGTTTGCCAATGAGCTGCAACCACCAAAGGCACCATGCCAAATGTGGATCACTGATTTTGGGATGGTCAAGTTCGCCAAAGAGGTGCAATCCTTAAACGCATAATCCCTGATGTAGATCACAGAGTCTGGGATGGTCAATTCTACCAAAGACTTGCAACCGCTGAAGGCATGATTTCCAACGTGGGTCACTGAGTCTGGGATGTTCAAATCAACCAAAGCACTGCATTCCTGAAAGGCACAGCTCCCAATTTGGGTCACTGAGTTTGGGATGGTCAAGATCGCCAAAGAGGTGCAACCCAAAAAGGCACCATCCCAAATTCGGGTCACTGAGTTTGGGATGGTTAAGCTTGCCAAAGAGCTGCAATTGGCAAACACCCGCTCACCAATGTGTGTCACTGAGTTCGGGATGGTCAAGTTTGCCAATGAGCTGCAACCACGAAAGGCATCATTCCCAATGTGGGTCACTGAGCTTGGCATGGTCAAGTCAGCCAATGAGTTGCATTCCTGAAAGGCCTTTTCTCCGATGTGTGCAACTGAGTTCGGGATGGTCAAGTTTGCCAAAGAGCTGCAATTGGCAAACGCTCCCTGACCAATGTGTGTCAGTGAGTTTGGAATGGTCAAGTTTGCCAATGAGCTGCATCCACGAAAGGCATCATTCCCAATGTGGGTCACTGAGTTCGGCATGGTCAAGTCAGCCAATGAGCTGCATTCCTGAAAGGCCTTTTCTCCGATGTGTGCCACTGAGTTCGGGATGGTCAAGTTTGCCAAAGAACGGCATTCAAGAAAGGCATGCTTCCCAATGTGGGTCACTGAGCTTGGAATGGTCAAGTTTGCCAATGAGTTGCAACCCGCAAAGGCACTGTTCCCAATGTGGGTCACAGAGTTTGGGATGGTCAAGTTCGTCAAGGCTCTGCAGTATCTAAACGCCGCAAGCCCGATGTGGGTCACTGAGTTTGGGATGGTCAAGTCAACCAAAGAGCTGCAACCGTGAAAAGCACAGTTCTCAATGTGGGTCACTGAATTTGGGATGGTCAAGTGAACCAAAGAGCTGCAATCGCTGAAGGCACTTCTCCCAATGTTGGTCACAGAGTCCGGGATGGTCAAGCTCACCAAAGCACTGCAACCCGCAAAGGCGCAATTCCCGATGTGAGTCACTGAGTTCGGGATGGACAAGCTCACCAAAGAGCTACAACCCCTAAAGGCGCCACCTCCAATGTGGGCCACCGAGTTCGGGATGGCCAAGCTTGCCAAAGACTTACACTCCAAAAAGGCACTTTCTCCAATACGGGTCACTGAGTTCGGGATGGCCAAGCTCGCCAAAGCACTGCAACCCGAAAAGGCACTATCCCCGATGTAGATCACAGAGTTTGGGATGGTGAAGCTTGCCAAAGACTTGCACTCAAGAAAGGCCCTTTTTTCAATGCGGGTCACTGAGTTCGGGATGGCCAAGCTCGCCAAAGCACTGCAACCCGAAAAGGCACTATCTCCGATGTAGATCACAGAGTTTGGGATGGTCAAGCTTACCAAAGCACTGCAATGGCAAAAGGCAGTGTCACCAATGTGGGTCACAGAATCAGGGATGGTCAAGTCAACCAATGAGCTGCAACCTCCAAAAGCACTATACCCAATGTGTGTCACAGTGTCCGGGATGGTCACTTTGGCCAATTTCTGGCAATATCGAAAAGACCTGTTGCAAATCTTTGTTTCATCGTGGGGAATTTCAACCACAAGCAATAGCTCGGAGTCAACTATGCCACCAAGAGTGGCGATTGCACCTTTGTTGGAGCATATCACTTTGTTTGGTTTGAAGATAACACTCACAACAACATCTTCAGCAATTCCTGCGTCCAATACCTTTGCATCATCGGCCAGCAAGTGGTTGTCTCCGACAATGATCTCCACGCTTGTAGTGCTGCGAGTGAGCTTGTCCCAGGGCTGTCCTTGCTTGATCTGCTGCTTAAGCTCGCGGCCTGTTGTGTCTGGCGTCACTTCAAGAACCATTACTGCACCGCTTGGCTGCAGCGCTGCAATTTTTGTTGCCATGGCTCAAATTATCTTGATGGATTTAAATTTGGGCTGATTGCCTGTTGACTAGCCTTGAAAAGCTGTCGACAATCGTGGACACATGCTTGGCCACCTAGTGCTCAGGTAGTTGCAACACCTATCATTCCGAAAAGCCGTCTGTCTTCTCTCTTATATTTCAACAGGTTCAATAGTGAATGAGAACCATAACTAGAACCATGCTATGACCACATCCTTATAGCTTCAATTGTGTGGTGATCTCATCGAAAGAACTCTTTTTCAACTGGATATCAGCCTGATCACTTTGTTTCAACGTCCTCACTAGAAGGACGGCGCATTCAGTCTGATGCCAAAGCCAAGCGCCCCAGCACCTCTCCCAACAAGATCACATGCATGGGCATGTCCTTCAGTCTGATGATGTTCTGATCTTGATGAAGATTTTGTGAGTCAGCTTTCGTACAACTTCAGGAACTTCAAACAACTTCGAACGATGAATTCTTATACAAAATAACGTCTATGACTCGATCTCAAAGCTTTGGGGTCATCGCCGCGTCCGGGCACGTCCGAGCCGCTGGGAAGCGCCGCGCAACGCCGCGGCCGATGCCTCGGACGTGGAACATGGCAGGGTCGGACCCCACACCGCTTTCTTGCAGGGGTCGGGGCCTGTGTTGGTTCGGGCCCGGATTCTTATAGGGTAACTAAATACACTTGGTGATCACTTGGTGTCCAAAACAAGTGCTGCGGTTGAATGAACTGCAGCATTGTGGCAAAGACGAAGACACGGGTCGCAGGTGATATGATTCTGATTGATGATGTTTATTGTCAGCGAACGGAATGTCAGTCACAAACCACTCTTGCCATGAACTAGACAGTGGACACGCTTCTTTCTGGGCTGCCCAATCAAAGAAATACCCTATATCCAGGAGAAGTCATTGCAGTGAGGAAGCCCCTTTGAACTCCCGAAGAGGATCCTTGGTGCTACTCGCCTGGTTAGGTGCTGGTGTACATGCATATAGTTGCCAGTTTATAAGGCCACCACCAGCGGTGCGGCTGACGTGCCGAATCGGCGCGCTGGTGTTTGGCACGTGGACCGAACTTGATGCGAAGCCGAAACTTGATGGTTCGGTCCCACGACCCGAACTGGTCATTGATACCGGATCCAGTCTCGTACCGAACCGAAGGCACCTGGACCCTCCTGGCATCCCCAAACACCTGAGAAGGTACGACGGGATCCCTAACAAATAGACGTCACCTTGAAAACCGTAGAGAGACGCACCAACTCCCCTCCTTCCACCTGCTCCTTCCGTGCATTCATGATTGTGTGTCAGCACTTCTTCGATCCTTCGACTATGTGCCCTGAACGTTCAGGTCGTAAGGGGTCACTGGCGACCTCTCGCTACCTCTCGGTCGATCCCGTCTCGCCCACCGTCGCCCGTGAAACCACGTCCGTCCGCAGCTCCGAGACGCGGCTCATCCAAGTGCTTCCGGCTGCGAAAGGCGACGCGGTTCATCCGAGCGGAGCCGCGAGACGCACGCCCATGAAGCAGCCCAATGCAGGCAGCAAACGGGATCTGTTAGCGATTTGATTGAGAAAATACACAGCAATTTGGGATCTTAGAAGGGCCCACCCTTTTCCTCAAAAGAGAAAGGTGAAGGATCACTACCAGGACGTCAAAGAGGGCTCCTATAGGTTGTACTTGGAGGTCAAACCATTGGTGACCTGGCAGTGAACGTGCTGGAGAGTTTGTCTAGGTAGGTCCCCATGACCAGGTCGCTCTATCTGTTCAACGGCTCATCAGCTCCTGTGGAACCCACGCTCTATCTGTTCCTTTACTCAGCTGCTTGGAAAGTATGTGGATTTTGCTGTTTGTGCCACACTCACTTGTTGAGTGGGTCGAACCTCCTGTCAGCGTCCTGTCAGCACACGTGTTCACCTTCGGATGGAGGTCACGTGGGACGCAGCACACTCGACCGACCTCTTCGTTCGGACGTTCCGCTGCTGCGCCGGCCCTTGTACAGGACGGCGTCCGACCGATCACCCTCACTGAAAAGACCGAGAGAAGAGTCTATTGGGGTTGTGTTCGGATGTGTTCAGTCAACGGATTTTTTGGGTCCCACTATAGTCTCCTGTCCCACATTCGGAGAAGGTACTTGGGGGTGGTGGTGCTTTTGGGGAGTCTAACTATACCTTCTGAGGATGTGGTTGGAGCCGGAGGGTATAGGTAGTATAGATATGACATGAATCGGAGCTCGGTTTGGGGAGATGGTCTTTCACGGCCAAAACTCATCACAGATCACCTCCCTTTTCAGCTGTTTCTTCGAGATACTTGCTCTCTGAGTCTCCCACAAAACAGACTCGAAATTCCAGCTTTCATGATTTAAGTGTGTTTCACGATGGTACAATTTGATGTTCTCAAATGGATGTTGCCATAACAAATCCCATGCCCAACTGAAAAAAGAGGTGCAAAAATGATGCCTCCGAGCAGAATTCGGTGATGGATCTCAGTCGAACAGTTCCATCCGCGGACAGAAAGAACGAACACCGAGCAGAACGTCTTCACGAACCATGTCTTTTGCGGAGGACATGTTCATCGGGTTTCTCCCACACACCAAACAGGATCAACCCCTTTTCTTGGGTCACCGACCGAAATCGCAGAGCCGCACCGAGTCGTTCGCCCTTTTTTTGACTCGGACGGAGCTCTTTCCGCGAGGCTTAAGCGGTGTCAAGCTTGAAGGCATCAAGAAGCACCTGCTCACCTCGAGTGACGGTCCTTCACCGGGTCCTTCGTGGTGGGACACCGTTTTTTTCAAAGCACCCGACGTCAGGAGGTTGACAAGACACCACAAAAACCAGAAAGAAGACATGGAGAGGAACGATGTAGTCCTCCAAAACCAGCCACATCCACTTCCATTTTGTTTGGTGGGTTTGTGTGTATAAGACCAAGAGAAAGAAACCCCAAACCATCTCAATGGACAACATCCGGAGCTGAAGGGAGGAGCGTGGGAGATCCACTTTCTTCACCAACGTGGGGATGAGCTCCCACCCGGACTCACAGCATTCCGCAGGATCGAGTCCTATGGCCGGACACTCGGGACTGGCATATGAAAACCACCAGACGCTCCTGCCCCGAATTCAAGGGGCTGAATCCTTACAAGCACCGGGTCATGGTCTTGGAAGTTTACATACATTGACCCCTTAAAAGATCCCAACTGATCGGCATACAGTGTTTGGGATGGCCAGGGGGTTCCCTGGTGAACTTGCTTTTTTCTGGTTGTCTTCGTGTCTTGTCGAAACCGCACGGTGTTCGAAAAAGAAATAGAAAGAACACATCCACAATGGCCTGCAAGTGAACTTCCGCTACACCTCCAGACGTCGTACCTCCGACCCCGGTTCGGTATGAAAACGGTTCGGCCAAACAGGTCCAGCTGAAGGAATTCCCGTGCTTTCTTCGTATGCTTTCGAACCGAACGACGCCTTCGCCACGTCGACGTGATCGATCCATCGAACGACGCGTTTGCCACACACGTCGGAGCCGTCGATGCGTCGAAGCTTCGGGACGATGCCGTCGATCTTCTGCCGTCATTCCAGGTCCGATTTCCGGACCCCGGAAAAGAAACACACCAAAATCCTCTTAACATACGATCAGTTTCCGGAGGATGTCACCCAGCTTTTGCGAAAGCCAAAGCCTGGAAGTCCAAAGACCTTTCCCTGAGTGTAAAGGAAAATTCCCCTTTCAGTTCCCCTAGTCAGACCATTTGTATACCAGCACCTTCAGTTCGGGGTCACCGTACGGCTGGTTTCGCTCCAGCCCACTACGATTCGGGACCTCCAGCCAGGACACCCCGAAAGAAGGTCCAGGTCGTCTTGGACTCCCAGGGCCTTTGATTACCGATCTTTCCGGATCGATGGTGCCCCCCACACGAACACCGGCGCGAAAACGCTCGTGCGTTCGGCCGTCGCGGTGATGCGTCGCGTGATGCGTCGCGTGATCGAGCCCAGGTGGCTGGAGAGGTCCCACATCACCGGGCATTTGCCCCCAAAGCACATCCTCGGCGGTTGGGGCGGTTTTGATTTGTTGGTTTTTCTGGTTTCCGCTAGACCAGCTTGTATACTCTGCAGGGCCGCTGGTGCTTGGGTCTTCAATCGCCCTTTTGGGCGAGCAAGTCGAGCCATGTGTGCAAAGCAAGTCGAGCCCTGCGAGTCTTGTGACGGAGGATAGCTACGGGTGACATCTGTAGACTGTTGATGAAATGACCTACCAGAATGGGTTTGGAATGGTTTGGACATCTCTATAGTCCTGTTTGCCTTCCTTCAACCAAAGTCCTCATGAGATCTCATGAGCTACTGCTGCACCTTTGTCACATTGAACCGTCGATTCACCCGTCTGCTTGCATAGCCCTCCGCATAGCCCTCCGGAAGGCAGTGGGAGGGCTGTGGGCATGGGGCCCCTCAGGGAGTTCACCTATACCTGGTTTGGTAAGACCGAACGCAAGCGACTGAACGCGAGAGAGGCTACACCATGTGCACAAACCGATCTGAAGTGCTGGTTTGCAGCATGCTCAGTACCAGTACCTTATTTGGACTGCGAAACATGAGTGGTGGCACAACCACCCAGCACGATCAAATCATGAACATCCTGATGATGCTGTGCATGACCCGTAGATGTCCCACTCCGCAAATGATGGATATGCTCATGGCCCAGCAGCTGCAGGCATTGCAGCACAGCAAGAAAACCCCCTCTATTATCTTCCATGTTCACGGCTGCTAAGCAACTGCTACATCAGGGATACCCATACACTTGATGTATGGCATATATGCCTACATTGACCCCCCTGGCACCACCCCTGGCCTGATCGGCATATATGGCAGTCCCATGGAGCGTCAGGGATAGGTCTTGACTCCAGAATCCATTGACTTTCACCCCTTCGGCCCTCCATTGCTTCCCTCCGATGCCGAGCATCAATCCAGGCATATCCGCATTGCTTTGGCACGTGAAGATCGGCCCGGCTTGCAGGTTCTTGCTCAGAACCTGTTTTTGCGATGTGCTGCGGTCTGTGTGTCGAGTGGCTGAATAGGGATGCTCATCTCGCTCAGCTCACTTCATGTAAGCAAGTGTTGACTCATCAAATCCCCCAATTTGGATTGCTCTGAGAATCCGGGCCCTCAAATACATAGAGTTTTCAGGGTCCAGACCCCTGCGTTTCGGTGTCGGGTCCGACCCCTCACATGGAGAGCCCAAGGATTCTTATAGAGTGTACATAAAACTGTTTTTTCTTAATGTGCGGTTGATTTGAAAAGCAAATATCAGCCGTCTGCACACTAGTGGTCAAAGCAAACACCCGTACAAACCATTGAAGGTTGACATAAGGTTTTTTCACCCGCAAAATAGAGGGATAATGATATGTACTCATTGGCAAAAAACACTCTCGCTTTCCAGAAAAACAACAAAAAATGAAAGACCCCCATGCTCAAAGGGTCGTTGGAGACTCAAGGTATGTTCATTTGAGGGAAAAGACCCAATATTTTTGGATGTGTGGGTCACTTGACCCACCACCGGGTGCGAGTCGCCGCGAGATGCGCCACGCTGAGGGACCCTCCTCAGGCATACCAGGCGTACCACACGTACCACAATCCTAAAGGGCTCCAGACGTCGTACCTCCGACCCGGTTCGGTATCACTGGACCCGACGGAACATGGCACCTACCCCCATCCCTCCCAGTCCCGAACGAAGTGATCCTTGGGCCCCAGATGTCGCATGACCAGAAAAAGCTGCAGTCCAGATGTCCCATCAGTGTCTTGCTCCGTTCGTTGCGCTGCCAAGAGCCCTCAACGTAGCGTCCGATCGTTACTAGTAGTAAGGCCAGGAGCCCCTATAGTAGCTTCTATTGCTACCTCAAAACTCGATGGGATATCTGATGGGATTTTTGTTTCGGTCCCAGACCCCATCGATTTGAAGGTCCAGACTTCGCGTCTGGGATTCGTAAAATCCCTACTAAACTTCGTCAGAGGGATCAAGGATCAATGATCCATGATTTTCCAGTTGTAGTTGAAATTGAAACGGCCAACACATCTGAAACCACCACCTATACCAGGACCCTCTTGTCACTCGGGGTGTCCGTCTTAACCCCTTGAAGGTCCAGACTAGCTTCCGACTTGTCGCCGTAGCGATCCGGGGGGAATCTTCTGGACTCGGGGTGGAAACGGAGACGGAAGGATCCCAAGGGAGGTTTTTCACAGCCCTAAGGTCGCCCGTCCCATATGTACCACAGACCAGGGTCCGAACGTTCAGGTCTCTCAACCTCTCTTGGGAGGTGAGCGACCGTTCGTCACGATGCGAACACCGATGCAAAACCTCGTGCGAACACCCACGATGGCTATACCGGTAGAACCTGAGTGATGCGACCTTTGGACCAAGCACCCCAAATAGGGATCTTTTCCTATGAAAACAGAAGTCACATGATTCAAATTGGGTTCCAGATTATAAGAACCGACTCACCTGTTCGCGACCGGCGGCCTCATCAGCAAGGCTCAAGGGAGGTGTTTGACCAACCAGATCTGGCCTTGCAACATCCTGTAACCCACGATACGTAGCTTCTGCTCGATCCAGGACAGACTGTGCCGCCTCAAACACCTCGCTCTTCGCCGGTCGTCACTCAGGTCGTCCGGACTCAGATCGGCCGATGCTTGAGACAGTCGCAACCCTCAAAGGCAGACGGGTCAATGTGCACTGAGTCCGGGATGGTCAAGCTCTCCAAGGAGCTGCAAC